GGGATAATGAAGCGCTTGCAAACCTACTGCGTTTTGTTGTTTACTTTGGGTTTTCTGAGACAATGTTTCTCACTATAGTCCATGCTAGCTTTGGGACTTCACTATGTTGCCCAGGCTTTGACCTAAGCTTGAAATCTTTGTGCTTCGGTCCTCCCAGGTGCTGGGATTACAGGTGTGCACCACCATGCCGGACTTTTTTACCTGTTTTGGTTTTGGGGGTGGAGGATAACTGGGGTTTGAACTCAGGGCTTTATGCTTGCTAGGTTGGCACTCTAGAGCTTGAGCCATGCCTCCAGCCCTTTTTACTCTGGTTATTTTTGGAGATAGGGTCTTGCTTTTTGCAGGCAGACCAAGCATGGACCAGATGATTCTATTCTACACTTCTCATGTTATCACCAGGATGACAGGCACATACCAATATGCCCTCTTTTTAAAATATTGTTTATTGAGATAAAGTCCTCAAGAAATTTTCTGCTGGGCTGGTTGGAAACTGTGATCCTCCCAATCTCATTCTCCCCACATAGTTGGAACTGTAAGTGCATGCCACTGTGCCCAGCTAATGGTTGAGACTGGGTCTCCTGAGCTTTTTGCTGAGGCTGGCCTCAAACAGTGATCCTCCCAATCTCAACCTCCTAAGTAGGTAGGTTTACAGGCAAAAGGCATTGGTGCCAGCTTCCGCTTGTCTTTATACTCACTCTGGTAATTCTACCTACAAAGCTTTCCACCATTTAAGCCTGGATAACACCTACTCAAGATCTCAGTTCAGCATCACTAGTCTTCCAACTTCAAAACCCCCAGACACATATGATCACATCTACTCTACTCTGAGCTCCCAAACCACTGCATAGAGGTCTTTTTACACAAGACACTCTTTTTTGTTTTGTTTTAATCTCTCATTCTTGTAGACTATGACTAACTTCCAAGGTGAAGACCAAGTTTTTTTACTCAGCTCTCTAGCTTACAGTTATAAAAAACAGGCAAGGAAGTTATAAAGTGATTTCAAAGGCAGCAAAGATGGTATCAACCTTGGAAATGTTTAAGTCTACAGATATGCAAAACCTAATAAAACAAGAATTTCTTGGTGCTTTCAACCTGACAGCTGTATTGTTGTTGAACTACAAGTTTTCTATCACAATCACAAACTCTTCTAGATCCTATGCTTGGCAACAGAAGAACAATAGGAGTCATTTATTGCACAGTAAAAACAAAAGAAACATTTTTTGTTTTTGTTTTTGGTGATACTGGAGTTTGCACTTGCTAGGCAGGCACTCTACCACTTGAGCCACCTTCCCAGTAAGAAAAGTATTTTTAACATTAAAAATAAAAATATACTAACAGAGTTACCTAGAAATATCTATGAAATCCCTATTTTCCGTAACTCATAGAGAAAAAAAAGAAGGCTAAAACCACAATGCTTAGAACTCGGCCTTTCTGCCCATGTATATCCCTAATGATGATTGAAACAACTTGAATTTTATATCCAATCTTGAATTCTGCAAAGGTAACTAAAAGGTATTTGATACCCATACTTGGTCAAAGAAAAGAATTAACTTCATTCACTTTATAAAGTAAACACAAAGCAGTAATGTAATATGGCTTCAAAAAGTAAAACTTTAGAGCCTAGAACCAACCTTAGAGTGCTACATGACTGCCTACTCCTCTTCCCACCCCTGGGATGGACAACCAAATATTCTTAACATCCCACTTGACTTACATGTACGTAAAGATCATCTAAATCAATAAGATTAAATTGCAGAAGGACTGCTGCAACTCTGTATAAAGATGATGGAGTCTCACCATTTGGTTCCTTGAAAAACAAAAGAACAATTTCTACTTAGGGTAAAAAATACAACAATTTAAATCATGCCCTTATAAGAACGATTAGATCAAATAACTCAAGAGTACACTTAATTGCTCTTCCTATCATATTAAATATCTGAATTCAGGACAAAAATTATTATGTCAGAATCCCTTTTTACACTGGAACATCTTATCATGAGCACAAAGAAACCAGTTTTTAAAATAGACACCTTTTCTAAAGCATGTTAATACCAGAAATAAAAGTTGACAATTGAATAGAATGTGAGATTTAAACTGCATACTATTTTGTCTGCATTTGTTTACATGTGTGTTGTTCTTAACTTGATTTTTCAAGTAGTTCTCAGTGAACAAGCAGATAGACAAGAATGGTAAATGTGGAAGTGCAAAACTGTGTTTGCTTTATACTTTCTTATATCTTTATTTCTTGGGTTTTTATGCTAAGTACACTGACTTCCCTTTCCAAACAGGTGTCTATACATATCACAGATTAATAAATGAACATTTTAAAATTCCAAATGGCAAAGTGAATGCCAGGCCAGCACAAAAAATGAAAAAAAAACATGCTTTTCCAATCTTTGCATTTTTGTTAGGCCATTTACAACTATGCTTTAGTCTTCACTTACTACTTGTTCAGAACCTGCACACCAACCAGAGGAGAAAGTTTAGGGACTCCTCAGGCCTTTTTTGGGCATACAGCCAGCTCCAGACATGCTCATGACCTTATCACAAATTTTCTGGTATATTTGAGAGTTTTATAAAAGCATTTTCTCCCATCTATCTCCTTTTCTAACTTATCTTTCAGGCTTTTCAGTCTCACTATTGCTTGTCTCAACTTGCTCTAGAATGATACATCCAATTGTTATATCTTTAAATTCTTTCAGTATGGTAAAAGCTACACCAATCCTGGGAACTGCTCTCAGGAGAAAAAAAGGCAGGCCATCATGATTCTCTTTAAGGAAGCAGCTAGACCAAATTGAAAACCCACAAGCACGATTCTTTTTTTTTAATTGTTTAATACATTTATTCATGTGTATACATTGTTTGGTCCATCTCTGACTCCCCTTCTCCAATTTTGTTGAAGAGAAAACATGAGACATAAATAAGAAACACATAGCATTTTTGCTAGCTTGAGATAAAGATAGCTGTACAGAAACACAATTCTTTGACAACAATTCTTTGCTGCCTCTGGCAGTTCGCAACCTTCAACAGGGTGGAAGATTCTATCATCACAGTCACCTTGATCTGGATGTTGGGGGTAGCAAACAATTTCAAAATATCACAGCATTCCTTCTGTCGCAAGGCAAGCAGTTTTAATTCTTTCAAAAGGGCTGTCGCCTGGCTCTTGCAAACAGTTGACTGACAGTTTTTTTTGTATCAGTTCACTTGACTGTTTTATGAGGGCAAGAGCAGCTCTAGAGGTTCGGCGCTCCTACTCTATTTTCAAGTGGATAATCCTATTGCTGCTGTCATTTCTGACTTGATTCGCTCAGACTCATCCATTTCACTCCACTTCTTTCTTTCCTTTTCTTTTCCTTTCCTTTTTATTTGGAACAAACGGGTCTTGGTAATGTTTCCCGGGCCTATCTTGAACTCCTAAGGCTCAACTATCCTCCTACCTCAGACTCCTGAGTAACTGGGGTTTAGGTGCATACCGCTATGCCTAGCCTTTCTTAACATTTATTTATGTTCATTTACAATGTATGTGTTCTTTCAGCCCATTGGCCTCAGTTCCCTTGAACTCTTCTCTTTCAAAGATCTTCTTTACCGACTACTATTCACTCAACTCTATATTCTTAAGCCACCTTAAGTAATCATGAAAAACTACTCATAATTTCAATATCACATATCCAACGCTCAAGTGCTTGTAAATGTTACTGGCCAACTAACACTCTATTTGCCTCATCCATTCACTGCAACTACTTCCCATCTTATTCCTCTACCCTCTAATACCCTCTCTCCTCTCTCAAGATGATGACTTTGCTTTCTATTTCAGTTAAGGAAAATGTAAGAACGAGGATGCGGGGAAAAAGGAACCCTCTTACACTGTTGGTGGGAATGTAGACTAGTACAACCACTCTGGAAAAAAATTTGGAGGCTACTTAAAAAGCTGGACATGATCTACCATTTGATCCAGCAATACCACTCTTGGGGATATACCCAAAAGACTGTTACTCCAGAGGCACCTGCACATCCATGTTTATTGCGGCACTATTCACAATAGCCAAGTTATGGAAACAGCCAAGATGCCCCACACTGACGAATGGATTAAGAAAATGTGGTATCTATACACAATGGAATTTTATGCAGCCATGAAGAAGAACGAAATGTTATCATTCGCTGGTAAATGGATGGAATTGGAGAACATCATTCTGAGTGAGGTTAGCCTGGCCAAAAGACCAAAAATCGTATGTTCTCCCTCATATGTGGACATTAGATCAAGGGCAAACACAACAAGGGATTGGACTATTGAGCACATGATAAAAGCGAGAGCACACAAGGGAGGGTGAGGATAGGTAAGACACCTAAAAAACTAGCTAGCATTTGTTGCCCTTAATGCAGAGAAACTAAAGCAGATACCTTAAAGCAAACTGAGGCCAATAGGAAAAGGGGACCAGGAACTAGAGAAAAAGGTTAGATCAAAAGAATTAACCTAGAAGGTAAACACACGCACAGGAAATCAATGTGAGTCAATGCCCTGTATAGCTATCCTTATCTCAACCAGCAAAACCCTTGTTCCTTCCTATTATTGCTTATACTCTCTCTACAACAAAATTAGAGAATAAGGGCAAAATAGTTTCTGCTGGGTATTGAGGGGGGGGAGCAGGAGGGGGTGGAGTGGGTGGTAAGGGAGGGGGTGGGGCAGGGGGGAGAAATGAACCAAGCCTTGTATGCACATATGAATAATAAAAGAAAAATGAAAAAAAAAAATTAGAACAGCTGGGCTTCTACAAACTTCCATAATCACACTTATCCACTTACCAACAACTATATGTACATATGCTGCATTCCCACCAATTACAGGTGAACTCTCTCTGCTCCTATTTAAAGTCATCCATCTACCGAAGCTCTACACTCCATACTTTCTATCCTCTAATTTTTCCTTTCTCTCCCTATATCATCAATTTTCCCCTTTCTGCCATCTACCACCCCATCTGTTTGCAAACCTCTGTAATAACTTATTCTATCTGCAATTCCACTCTTCAGACTCTCCAAAATATAAACCCAACTCTACAAAAATAGCTTTTTTTTTGGGGGGGGGGGAGGCTTGTGCTTGCTAGCACTCAATCACTTGAGTCACACCCCCCAGCCCCAAAATAGCTAGTTTTGATCTCCCTGATGATAAATCCAATAGTAAAATTTCAGTCCTGAAGTGACCTGTCAGAAACATTTGACAAAGTTTATCTTTTCTTCCTCCATTTAATTTCCAAAATAACACATTCTGTTTGTTTTCCTCTTAGTGTACATGTTGATCATTCTCCACTTTTGTTTGTTTGTTTGTTTGTTTTTGAGACAGGGTCTTGCTACATAGTCCAGGCTTGTCTCAAACCCATGATCCTCCTACTGAAGCCTCCCAAGTGCTAGGATGATGGACATGTCCACCATAATCCAGCTCTTACTTCCTTCTTGGCTGGTTCCTCCTTTTCTGCCCACAGCTCCTTTAATACTATAGTGTCCCAGAATCAGTCCTTGGTTCTCTTATCTCCCTATTACCAAATCCTTGATGATCTCACCCAGTATCACAACTTTTTAATACCATCTATATGTTATACCACATTTCCTATTTCTAGCCTAGTCCTTTCTCCTTAGAGTACAGATCCATATATCCAGTTATTTACTTAGATCCAGTTACTATCAGTTATTTACACTATCATACCTAACAGATAGGTCAGTCTTAACCACATCTACAACTGAATTCTAGATTCCTGCCTCCAACACTCAGAAAACCATTCCACCGGAATTTTAACACATCTTTTAGCCGCTCAGTCCAAAATTTCATAATAGTCCTTAATTCCATTTTCGCACATTTTGCATCCAATCCATCAGCAAATACTATTGGACTATCTTAAAAGAATCTCATATATACTGCCTACCATAATCAATGATCCTCTTTAAAAAAAAGAGAGAGTCAACACGAAACGTGCACAAACACTCATACAACATGTGCATGCAAACTCATATTCATTCTCTCTTCACCACTCAACATCATCACTGGAGGTTGCACTGAAGGATCACTTTACACTGATAGCTAGTATTTAACAATGAAAAATTAAAGCACTTGTCCTAAACTTTCTAGTAGGAACAGCTTTTCAAGGAAACAGCAGCCTCAGTTGATAAGGGACAATTCTTGTTGAAGAAAGATGGTAATAAATGTCAAGACATGATAAAATTGGTAAATCTACCAATTTAAGAACCCTTAAGGAAGAAATGGCTCAAGCAAGGATTATTAAGATTCTAAATTATTTAATGTAAGGTTAATGAGGAAATGGAATAATTCACATAGTATCAAAATATCAACCTAAAGCAAATAACTTGCTATTTATGAGAAGGGGCATTATAATCAGAGTGTCACCAACTTACTGAACGCATTTTAAAGACAAGCATTAGATTAGATGTTATACAAATAAAAAACAGTTAATCATAATCTATAAGCATTTTGCCATTAAATCTTCTATGTGAATATAACCAAGCCTTTAAGACCTGATTCCAAGTATATTAAGAAATACAGGGACAAAGAACTAATTAAACTAACTATGATAAAAGTAATTAGGTAAATCCCCCAAAAGATGGATTCTTCTAGGGAATGGTCTCATCAAAAATTTAATGCCATTAACAGGTAGGAGACTGTTCTAAATTAAGAGACTAAAACAACTTGACAATCAAATGCCATGTGTGGTTCTGAATCACTCGAACAGGTAGTTGTAAAACCCATTTTGGGGACAATTTGGGAAATCTGAATATGGTCTGACTTTATTATGCATAGTAACATAGTTTGGTATGAAATGGCACCAGTTATATAGAAAAAAGTTCTTAAAGAATACAAGCTTCAATATTTAGGAGGAAACTTTCATGACATATGTAATATAAATTAATATTTAAGAAAGCATGGTAATGTATTAATAAAACTTAATTCTAGTGATAGGTTATGAAAAAACCTATATCATTCTTTTGCTTGAAAATGTTCATGATAAAATGAAAGGTAAACGAGAAACAAAATGAAAAAACTAAAGATTGCATCATTCCCTACTTAAAATCCCCAATGGAGAGCTTACACAACATCAAAAGTTAAAGACATCTATGTGATCTAGCCCTGCTCATCTCTGAGCTCATCTCCTGTCATCTGACTCAATCGCCTGATCTAGCCGTACTGGACTCCATACCACTCTTGGGCATACTCACATTTTAGGAGCATTGTATTGATGGTTTCTTTTACCTAGAAACTCTTCAGGAGATAGCTGCAATTTACATCCTCACATCCTTCATATCTCTACTTAAATCTTACCTTTCAAATGATGTCTACTCTGATTATTCTATTTAAAACTGAGACCTACAATGTCAGCACTCCTGAATCTTCCTTATTTGCTTCTGTATTTTTCCATCATTTTACCAGTTTGTAATGCAATATATAATTTATTTAGAATGTAAGCATCAGAAGGCAAGGATTTCTGTTTACAGGTATAGCCCCAGCACCTAGAATAAAAAGGTGCTCAATCAATATTTCTTAAATAAATGAACTTGGGGTGTATATAATAGGATCTTACCACTATACACAATTACTGCTATAATTGTGTTTTGAATCCAGAAATCAGGCCTATGACATAAGTAAGAATTATCATCTCATCCCTCTTACTCAATGCAAGACAATGCAGCCGACTTTAGCCTTTGGTAGCCTCAAACTTTCTATACTTTCCCTTCCTCCTCTATCCGCTGTACCTCATGATGCCCTCTGCTATCCCTAAAACTCCACTTTGAGATTGGAGCAATCTCAAAATGGTCATGTGCTTTAAAAACTGCTTACGTTCCCCATCACCCTTCAAATCAAAACATTCAGTATAGCTGATCACAAAAAGTAACATTAGAACAAAATCACTCTTGTCAACAACTTAGAATAATTAGCTCTGCCTAAAAGTGCTACCATTAAGTGAGAAAAAGAAAAAGAACAGTCATTAATCCAAACAATTCCCAATTGATGAAAATGCGAGTTAGGGAAAAGTAAGTAAACATTTTCAAGTACTGATGAGAAGGGGGGTTGAATTAAGCAAGAGATACATACATGCCTGGGAACCTACACCCAAGGTACATCCCTATATAGTTCATGATTATCCTATCTTTCCGTACTTTCCCTCCAAGGTCACAAATTACCTAAAATCTCTGAAAAATTATTCCCCTACTCTTAGAAATCTAAGACCACAGATTCTCAAAAACAAACTGTATCTGCAAGAGAAAGAAGGAAATATTGTCACACAGCAAAATAAGAGTTAATTCTCCCAAAGGCAGGTTATTTCTAAATCAAGATTGGGGTTTTTGTTTGGTTTTGTTTGTTTTTTCTTTTTTGGTGTTTGATCTCAAGCACTCTACACACCTGTACCATGCCCAGACCTTTTTTTTTTTTTTGCTTTATGTTTTAGATAGCGTCTAACACTGTTGCCCAGAGCCGGCCTCAAACCTCATTCCTCCTACCTATGCTTCCCATATTGCTGAGATTACAGACACTCACCACCACACTCAGCCATAAATCAAGTATTTTGACAAGAAAATGTCCTTATCTACAAAAAAGGATTACTCAAATATTGCTAAACACCCCCCCATACATCAATTCAGCTAAAACGAAGTTACATTATGAAGAATATTTTCACATAAAAAGATTTTAATTCTAAAAATAGCACTCAACTAACCTGAATTCACAACAGGTCATAATTCACTATGATATGGTCTGAAAATAAACAGTCTCTAACACCGTTAACTTATTTTGCAAATAATCATGTAGCAAGTTAAATTTGACTACCATTTGACTTTAGCAGTTGGCTTCATGTTCTCAAACTCCAAGCAATCATGATGCTCTTAAAATACAATGGAAGTTGGAGGTGTGGCTCAAGTGGCAGAGCACCAGCCTGCCAAGTACAAGGCCCTAAGTTCAAACCCAGTACCATCAAAAAGAAAGTTAATAAAAAAGACTAGAATCAGGCTCAAGTGGTAGAGTGCCTGCCTGGCAAGCACAAGGACCTTAGTTCAAACTCAAGTACCAAACAAAAAAATCTGGTGGAACACTTGAATCTCTGCTTCCTATATTAAGAGTTGACTTGCAGGCTGCTTGTAGGAAAGAAACAGCTGCCATGGCTTTAATTTTTAGTAACGACACAGTACTCTTGCCCCAAACCCCTGCACTGTGTTCTGTTTGGGCTCAATATCTATACACTCTGATCTCCTTTCTCTTATCTTCTGGAACATTCCAAGAATGCAAAAATAAAACATAAGCAGAGGCAGTAGGTGCTATATCACTTGAGAATCCAAAAAGAAAGCCTCTTATCCTGAACTCACCAAGAGTAGAGATATAACACTCCCATTCTCTAGAATAACGTCAGTGCCGCCTAGCAAAGTGACAGAATATCATAAACATTCAATGAATGAGTATATCTTGGCTAGCTGATTATCCCAGGCAAGGGAGACAAATTAGCAAAGCTATACCAAAAGGACAATAGAGGTCTTATTACAGTGAAACTCCCATGTTATTAAGAAATAACTATCTTTCTAAAAACATAAAACACTTACTATATGCTAATCAAGTAAACCAATCCACAAAAATTAGTAAAATAAAGAATCTGCTCTATTTGGCTCACAATCTAGCAAAAAAAGTTGGCCATGGCTTATTTTATACAACCTGGCCAAGTGTTAAAAAAAGTGTCAAATTTTATGGAAATTCTAGATTAGGTAACTAATTTCTGCAAGTGAGGTGTCAGCTAAGATAATTACAGAGCAAGTCACACTTGATCTTAAATAAAGAGGGCACTAAGCTAAGCACAGTGGTCCATTCCTGTAATCCCAGCTACTCAGGAGGCAGAAATCAAGAAGAATCACTGTTGGAGGCTAGCCCAGGCACAAAAGTTAGCAAGATTCATTTCAACAAATAAACTGGACTAAAAGTGTGCACCTGTCTTCTCAGCTACATGGGAAGCCACATGTAGGAGGATCACAGTCCAAGGGCAGCCCTAGGACAAAATGCAAGAATCTACATGAAAAATAAACCGAAAAAAGTGAAAACGACTGGGCTTGTGACTCAAGTAGTAAGGCACATGAGAGTTCACACCTCAATACCACAAAAGAAAGAAAGGGAGGGGGAGAAGGAGAAGAAAGAGGAGTGAAGAGAATTGGGTAATACTAGTTTTCTAGTTATAAGGAAACTGTGTTAACAAGATTCGTAACAATCAATACTTAAGTTCAGGAAATGACTAGTCATTTGATATGACTAGAATAGATTTAAGAAAAAAATAACTATACATAGGACGGGGGAAGAACAGTGAAGGACTTTTTCTGCCACTTGCAGAAGTTCGATTTTTACCCTCAAGAAAAGATTTTGGCATACTTGACTTAGTTAAATCTCTTTTACACAGTAACTGCAGCAATAACATGAAAGATGGATTGAAAGAGAAATAATTAAGAAGCATGGATTAGCTTGAAAGTTTTGAGTTTAGTGGAAAATGATGCAAAATATGATTCAAGTATTTATTCACATCCATTAAGAAATTCCAAATAGCCACTGCCTATGCAATAAAATCCTCACTCTTGACAAAGTATTCAACAGCCTATGACAAAAGAGCTCCTACCTTTCCAAAGTTATTCTCTGCCTTTCTTTCCCATTTTAAAACCCAGTCCCACTAGACTACGACCATTCTTCCAATAATTATGTATATCCACACCAACACATTTTTTACTCTCACACTGATTGTTAGTCCTGCACATAAAATTCAACAAACTCTTATTCAACCTTTGATATACAGGTTTTTCTTTTGTTGTTTTGTTTTGTTTTGTTTTTTTTAAAAAAAAAGGGTTACATTTATAAAGTCTTCCTGACCCCATCTCTCCTGAGACAAACTTAATTTTGCTTTCCTCTAGGCTTTCACCATTACATTATTAACACTACTAGTATAAGTACTTATCACAACACATTGCTAGCTCTCTATTTATCTATTATCCTCTGCTAGAATGAACTGAAACCAATCATTTATAAATAAAACTCAAATTAAATTGCACACATGGAATTATGATATACATATATAGAGATATACTTTTACCTGGTAAAAATTGATTTGAAACCCAAGAATATGACACAGTGTTTGCGGTTCACACATACTCATGTAAGATTCTAATAAAGATATAAAGAAGTCATCGTGTTCGGCCTGCATTCAAACACTTCTAAAATGACATCCAATACTCTATTGGGATCCGATTAAAGCATCCTGTAAACAGATGAGATATACACAAGTTCAAAACGTGATTATGTATCATTTAATAGTAAATAAACTATAAGGGACAACTTACATAGCCTGATACAAATGTTTTTAAAAATAATTTCTTTTAAAAGTTTTAAT